CCTAAAAATAATAATTTTAAGTATAAAAGTTATTTTTATAACAAATATAAATTTGAGAACTAAAAGATAAAAAAATGTAGTTAGAGGACTAACTGTTCTCTAAGAAAATATGAAGTTTTCCGTTACTTTGACCAAGTAGACGAAATTGAAATGAATCTGAAAGTTAATAGACCACTTAGAAATAAAATATAGTTTCTAGACTAAAATGAAGTCAAAGTGATAGTTAATAGACTAAAAATTAAATTAAGCATGTGAGAAAGTAAGAAACAGTGAAAATTAAAATGTAATTTGATAAAAAATAAAAAAATAAAAATTAATAAATACATTTTCCGAAGAAAAATGTACTATTGATGTGTTCAATTTAAGCCGCAAAAGAAATCATTTAATGAACTTTTTAACATAAAAAATAGTAGTAATTAATTAGTAGATAGTATTTGTCTATGTAGGTTCTTATTATGGTTACCCATATTATCACGAAGGCTACATAATTTTGAGTGGTATTTTATTAATTTGATTATTAAAAATTATTAATAATAGATAAAATGATAAATAGTTATTATTTAATATATTAAGATTAATTTATAATTAAATATTTTTAAATAGTATAATTAATTATTAAAAAATATATAAATTAATTATTAAATTATTTTCATGTAAAACTAAGGTGCTGTTTAAACATTAAAATCTTCTTTTTTTTAAAAAAAAGGCATCGAATTAGTTTAATACCATTAAATACAAAAACAAAAACAAAAAACACAATAACAAATTTATACTTGAACCTCGTAGTCCAATAATTATAAATTTGGACTCAATTTCCCACCCCCAATTATAAATCTGTTCAAAAAAAAGAAAAAAAAGAAAACAAGAAGACAACAACAAATTTGGTTGAGTTTGATGGCAATATCATATACTATTATACTGTATCTAACATTAGGTGAGGTTTTCCTGGATGATATGGGGTTGTCCATTTTCTGTTTTTGAAAGCTTGAGAATGAGAATGACACCTCAACCATCAAGAAAAAAAAAGTCCCCTTTATCAGAGATTCAGAGTCCAGACAAGATGAGGTAAGGTGAGGGAAGCAAGCCAAGCATGCCCAAGACGCTGTTTCTGTTTCCAAGCTAAATTCCAAAACTGCTTTTGGAGGAAAGAAGGAAAGAAAAATTAAAAGCTATGGATTGATTAGGTATCAAGATTAAGTTCAAGTTTATTAGGGGGGACCAAAAGGCATGTATAGCTTTAGATTTGCGATCCCATTCAAATCCTACTAAAACTTTTAGGATGCTATTATTATTGGGTTATTGGATACAAACGTCGGTCTTTTGTGTCGAGTGATAATCCCCTCAAAATATTTTAAAAATTCTTGTTATAGTTCATAGATTTGAATGTGTAAAAATATATGAGTTTTTTTTACACAAAATGGATATAAATTAGATCTGGTAAAAATTCACTCAACACGTCAATTCGACTCTAACTCAACTTGTAAAAATGGTTAGGATTTACATATCCGAACTCACAACTCGTAGATAATCAGTATTATCAACCTGTACGGAGTCATGGGTTGAGTTAGGGTCAACCCGTGGGTTAAGGGTTTGATCCATTTGGTTTATTTATTATTATTATTATTATTAAATATTACACTTATTATTTTTAATTAATTTTTCTTTTGATAACTCCTTCTATTAATTCATACTCCCTAATTTCTAGAGAAAGACAAAGAAATTATGATGAGTTTGATCTAATTATCCAAGTATTATTATTATTTTTTTGTTTTGGTATTAACAATTATCTAAGTATTATGAATGAAATGATAATATAACTAAAAATATTAAAAGATGTGATGTTAGGACATAAATATAATAACTTAGTGAAAGATATTATTGGAAGAGCAATTTCATCATTAAAAAAATAACTTAAACTACTTGATAATGTTTCAAGATTATTATAAAATTAAAACTTTATTTTCCAAGAAATTTAAATATTTTATGTTTAATATTGTTATTAGTAATCAACTTATTATTATTTATAATCTTATGATTTTTTTCTTAATTTAATTGTTTGTGGTTGAGATTATAAAGTACTTAATTTTAATGAATCACAATACGTTAATTAGATTTAGATATATATAATTTTATTTGTATATAATAAAATTAATGAAAAATAATTGTAAAGAATGAAAATAAGATCCACCCACAGGTTAACCTGTAATTCGTTAGGATCGGGTTAAAGTTAAATTTTTTCAATTTGTATAACCCGTCACCCGAGTTAACACAATCCGAACCCGACTCAACCCAGCTGTTTGCCAGGTTTAATATCAATTTATCTTAAAATTAATTAATAATTAGTGGAATTACATGACATAGCATACGAGCATTTATCAAAAGAAACATAATTAAGAATATTTGAAGTTGTGTAACATAAAAAGAAAAACACTACCTTCAAATTTTCAATCTCAAAGACTTAAACATGATCTCTACTTCCCACTCTGATCATCAGCAAATTTGGATGAAGACAGTAAATTAAGCAATTCGTTGATGATGATCACTGAGAATTGATTAGTGCAATCAAGAAAAAAATGAAAATGAGTAAGTTAAATTTTAATTTTTAATTTATTCTTAACCTTTTAATTTTAAACATTTTTAATCTTTAAATTATTTTTTACATTTTTTATATCTAAATTATGAAAAATATATTTTTTATATTCTTCTATTAGTCAATACACTTATAAATTTAAAGATTAAAAATATATATTTATAAATAAATTTAACAAATTAACTAACGAGATGATTAAAATAATATATTTTTTATAATTTTTAAATAAAAAATATAAAAAATAATTTAAAAACTAAAAATATTTAAAATTAAAAATTTTAAAACTGTAAATAATATTTAACCAAATGATTACCAACCTTGGTGGTGAAAGATACTTGACACTCCACTCCCCTTTATTAGGGACAGTGGACACCTGTTAAACTCCAAAAGGCTTCTGGTTTCCCAACCAACCAAAAATTTACCAACCCAAAACATTACTTTCTCAATAATTAACTTCCTCACTTATTTAAACATGATATGAAAGGAGCATTCCACTTAGAAAGAGGAGAGGCATCAGCTTTAATATTTCCCTAGCTCCTTTCCTTTTCTTTAATGTGAAATGAGATTAAAAATATAATAAAAAAATATAATTTAATATAAAAAAAGTTGATTCATTTATAATTAATTATATTTAAATTGAATGCATTTGAGTCACATGTATAATTTTTACAAGTACTACCAAGGATTTTGTTTGTAATTAATTTTGAATTAAATTATCATGGTGGAATCCTTACATGTAATGGTTGGTGTTGGGAAATTTTGATTTTAGAAAAGTTTTTACCAGTCCTGGTTTGGGTGTAATAATGAAAAGACTTTCTTAACAAATTCAGTCTGAATTGAATTGATTATTTTTTCTTTTCATAAAGTTAAAATTAAAAAATAACATTCTCTTTTGAATTTGTATGCTTATCATGGACCAGTTATGATGCTTTGCTGAGAATTCATCTCTTTTAACTGTTTACATGCATTTCACAATCTTTATTTTTCGATTAATGAATAATATAATTTTTCAAATTCATATGCTGGTTGTAAGTAAATGTTAATAACATCATCAAACACTACCAACAGTAAAATTAATTTAACTATGACAAAAACAGTAAAATTAGTTTAAATTTTAAATTCATAGTCAATCTAAATATCATAAATAGATATAAATCCTAATTAATGTGAGAAGGCACTTCCTAAGTTTATTTATTTGTTTTAGATGTCATAGAGTAAATGGTTAATTTAAACATGTGAGGGAAGAGGGATGAGGGATGGGTAGGAGGGGCATATGTTCAAACTTTTACTGTAAAAGTGTACAAGCTTTTTATACTGGTGATAAATTAAGCCACTTCAATTATTAAGCCTCCACCCTAAGTTGTTAATTAAATAGATAACTAGTTTTTTTTTTTAGCCCGTGCTTTGCACGGGATTATTTTATGTTTTTTATATTATTTGTTTAATTTCATAATAATTTTTAATCAAAAAATTCTAAATTGATTTAACTATTAAGAAATTATTAATAAGAATAAATATTTTTATTTTAAATTTATCTTAAATTAATTATT